AACTCTAAAACCCTACTCTAGCGGCTTCGTAAGTTGCCGGCGATGGTTCGCTTCTCCACAGAAGTCGCGGGGCAGCAGAGCCCGAAATCCACAAGCACGAGCTCCTGAAGCCCACAAACCCGTGGTCGTGGCGTAGGGGATGGGGATGCACAAGTGATGCATAGTGTTACCGTTTTGTCTACCTATAGAAAAATAGCACATAGCGTTACATAAGTGTGTGTATATATACACACACACACACAGATATTTCCGTATCTACTTATACACACACACAATTTCAGTACATCGCGGTTGTATTGCGACATCAGCTAAGCTTCAGCCAACATATGGGGCAGGGGACAGGAGAAAGAAAACAACCAGTATAATAAACAAGTATCTACAGATGTGTGTATTTATGTATGTATGTATGTATGTATGTATGTATGTATGTGCGCATGCACAACTATATATGTATATATGCACACAGCCCTCAACCCTAACCCCCAAACCCCTAAACCCCTATAAACCCTCAACCCTAAACCCCCAACCCTAAACCCAAAGCCCTCAACCCTATAAACCCTAAAACCCTAAAACCCTAAAACCCCAAAACCCTAAAACCCTAAACCCTAAACCTTAAACCCTAAAACCCTAAAACCCCCCTAACAGTTCCTTTAAGCCAGAACTGCGGCCCAGACTCCGAGTCCGGATGCTTGGAGCGGAAGCGCAGGTTCTCCTGAGCTCTTGTTGGCTTTTGCTTAAGGGCTTTTAGGGGTTTTGGGGGGTTTTGGGGGTTTTAGGGGTTATAAGGGGGTTAGGTTTTTAGGTTTGGGGGGTTTAGGGTTTATATGGGTTTATAAGGGGGTTCGGGTTTTAGGTCTGGGGGGAATAGGGTTTATAAGGGGGTTCGGGTTTTAGGGTTTGGGGGGTTAACGGTTTGGGGGTTTAGGGTTTAGGGTTGGGGGTTTAGGGCTTAGGGTTTGGGGGTTTAGCTACACTAGCAATGAGACCATGGCATCTAAACCCTAAGCCCGGGCTACGGTCTCAGCGTAGTGGATATTTTTACACAGCCACAGCCTCTTCTGCAGCGCAAGGCTGCGATGCTATGACTTGTTGCCCTGTCACCCTTCGAAAGGCTTTGGTCTGTCTGACACTTGTCAAAACCCAAGACCATCTACTATCCTTATCAGACTCGGTTCTCCCAGTGGCCATGGCATGGTCGAGACCTTCTGATTATTCTGAGTCTCCTAAGGAAAGAAAGGGGCTCCATGTCTTCGGCAAAATCCCAAGCCCCAAACAGGCCCTAACCTTGAGGAGATCCGGGTTCAAGCCTCTTCTGCTGCTCTATCGAGTGAGGAAGCAAAGTCGTGGAACGCAAAGTTGCAATTAACTCGTTCAGGAACCACCCCTTCCCGGATTCCCAGCCCCTCTGAAAGGAGGGAGGAGGGAATGGGAACACGGATCGCTGCGTGCTTGACTGCTGCTGGAGCCACTGGCTTCACATCTCGGTGGATCAAGCCCACGTCGCACACCGCGTGTATGTGTGCCAGCGCCTTGCCACTCCCAACTGCTGCTGGGAAAGCTGGTCCCTGATCGTAAGACATCGGCCCTAGGTATTGAATCACGGAGTGCACAACTCGGACAATTAGAGACGCTTCATGATGGCTTACAGAATGACAGCAGGGCCCTGCTTGACTTAGTATGGGAGCACAGGGTCTGCGAATTTCGACTATTGACTTCCCTATGCTGCCGCACTCCCACGGTGGTAAATCGCAAAAAGTCTTGGCCTGTATTGACATTACGAGAATGAGCCATTTCCTGAGTAAAGTGGTCCTTCCTGCCGAGTGCTACAGACACCGACCCATTGAACTAATCCGAGTGGTGACTTGCACAAAACTTGGAGACTGGTGGAGTTCCTGCTGACAGCTGCATGCCAATTCGGAGACCAGGCACGGAAAGCGAATTCTGCATGATGAACTTCGCATGCTCCTCTGTCCTTGCACGGCCAAAGTCATGGAGCACGTGATGGCAGCGCTTCGGAATCTGGCCGCAGCTGGCCGACACAAATCTCAGCGAGCCAGTGCCGCAGTGCAAAGGCCTTCCGAACTCTAAGACATCTGTCCGCTCCCTGACATACCCATAGGCTCCTTAGTAGTTCCTTTTTGGGATTACCTTATAGGATTCTTAATATGAACCATAAACAGGAACTACTTAGGAGCCTATGGGTAATGAAGTGGTTTCAGCTGTCGAAGCCATGCTGCCAACTGCCCTGCCGATGCCATGCCGAGATGCAAGGCCGTTCCCTTCACACTGAGGTGCTCGAACAAGTCCGGTCCTGTGATACAATCAGAGAGTTATACTCTTACAGCTCCAATACACGCCAGGAAGATCTTTTGATAATTGCTGGACTGCACCAGGGGAGTAGGCTCATGTATGAATCTGAACAGAACTTGCCTAGCTGTGGAGGCTCACTTACCGAACTCAAAACCATGCAAGACAAGGAGTGATTGACCTTTGTTCAAGAAAAACCCACTGTGGCGTTGTGCGATGTTCTCTTCCCTCGCCTTGACGACAAAGCAGACCAGTGAAGAAAGCTCTGTGCAGAGGAGCCCCAGTCCAAAGAAGGTAGCACGGACAGCCTATGTGGTGTTCGTTGCTTTTGCAAAGATTTGACTAGCGCCTGTGTCGACCAAAGCGAGCCCGCAGCCTCTGAACACGGAGCGATTTGTCCGCACACTACTTAGCACTTTGGCGAAACATAAAGCTTGAAGCCATTATGTCCCGCCTCCCCAGTGCCCACCCTACTGACCCCATACAACCAGGGCTCCTTCTAGGAGCTCCATCACCACGAAGAAATGCCTCAGAGGACCGATTTCACTTTGTCTGATTCAAGATTCAACCGCTCAAGGTACTAGAACTTCGCCGGGTAAGACAAGTTTGCCGGACTCTGGCCAGCAAAAAGGCGAAGGACGTCGTGTCAATCTGCTAGTGCCCTTGCGGCGTGATCTGTAGTGCATGCGTCCGAGTATAAAGCCTCACACGCGTGCGTTCCAAAGAACCCCCCCCTAAACCCTAAACCCTAAACCCCACTCCACCCCTCCCCCCACCCCCCCCCCGCACCCCCCCCACCCCCCCCATGGCTGTGTCCACTGCAGCTGAGAATCGCATCGCTCATGATCGTGTCGAGCAGCTGCACAACGTTGGGGTGCGCCGACTCTCTGGACCTGGCATTGAATCATAATAATAATTCTAATAACATTAATAATAATCCTAATAATAATAATAATATAATAATAATAACAATAGTAATAACATTAATAATAATAATAACAATGATAATAATGATAATCATAATGCATAAATGAACTTGTAAGAAAAGGAGGTGCCCACCGTGGCTCCGAGTCTTGCGAGACTTGTGGTGATGAGAAGGAATTGGACATGTCGTCGTCACGGACAACAATCAATGATTACGATGGACACGATCACGAGCAGGTATTGTCGTAATATTGGTCCATAACTCTTACGTCTGCTCTTTGAGCTTGTATAAGCCTTTGTAGCTCTGGGCTCTGGGTTCATCTCCCCTTCCACCAGATGTACAAAACCGTCACGCCACCAATCAAGCTTAGCCAGTTCTTGGCTTTAGTCCGTATCCTCTTGTCGCTCTGACACCTGCGCGATCCGACTGTGATGCGTCGAGCTTGCTTGACCAGCAGCTTAATCATATTATGATGTATAAGGCCCGGGCATGCGCAGCAGCAGTGAAACGGTGTCTCGCTCCACAAAATTCTTGTGGTAGTGCCTCGGTTTCTCTGGAGGTCGTTATGAGTTTCAGGGTTTCGGGGTCAGTAAAGCTGGATGACCCAGACACTTCGGTCACTACGGGATCGAAAGACGAGGCTTCGCATCCGTGAAGCTCCCCTTGTGGCGCTTTTGTTCCGGTGTGCCTCTGTGTGCCGCATTTGTGTGGTCGCTTCTCTGCTGTCGCGGTCTGCGGCCGATGTCGGCGAGGACAGCAGCCGAATCGGACGAGCACAAAGGGCGAACAGATGTCAGACACGAGTTGACAGCATCAGGACGCGCATCATAAACCGTGCTTCGGGCGAACGGCCTAGCATTTAGCAAGCACTACCTGCACGAGCCACGACCCAAACTTGCAATTCTGCACTACCGTTTACAGTACCATAATCGCGGGAAGTCGGACGGCTTCGTTTCGGCGAGCCCCTTCGAGACCTCGACATCCCCGAGAGCCTTGAACCACACCGGGCAACAGCTCAGAATCCGTTTCCTGGACTTCATCTCCAGCTTCAGTGAAGGTCAGCCTGCACCCCTCCTGCACGTGGAAATGCTTCCGAACTTCAACCTCGAGGTTCTGACTCATTGAGCACTATGGAACACCACCTAAACCTCATTGCATGTTTCGAGTATCACGAACCAACCCTAAGCCCGCATTGTTGAGTCTGGTTTGCAGCGACGCAGCCAGGACAGAAAAAACAAAACAAACCCTCAACCGGGAATTCGCAGAACTCTGGCCCCATGCGGAGGTCAAGCAGGCGACTGTCCAACGTGCTCTCGGTTCAACAACTTGACCTTGCAAAGCTGGGCGACTGTGAACTTCGGTTTGGGGTGTTTTAGGGGATTTCGACTCTCGCAACTCGCGCATGGCAGAGCAGGCCTTTAGGGTTTCGGTACCGGGACATACTTTGGCGCCTGAAATCAGCGATTCGATGCGATGCAGTGTTCGCCTTCGTGAAATCTTCCAGCTTTGGGTTCGCTCGCAGAGGGGGACAACGGGTTCACGGCTTTTGGGCAGAAGCGAGGGTTCGAGGTTTCGACATGTTTCGACGACATGCTTCGACGTCCGTGAGCAGGACTCTCAGCGGCTTTTGCTTGGAACCTGGTAGGTCACTGGTAAGAGCTAATCAGAGACTTCGAAACAACCTCCGTTCTGACTCCGAGGCTCTTATCACCCAATCGGAACTCCTAAAAAACATCTTGAATCCAAAATACGGCCCGAAACCCTGCCTTCAATCCAAGAGCCCACCCTGAAGAGCCGCCAAACATCCTAAAGGTCTCATTGCGGCCACGCGCACGGCGCAAAGGAGGCCCGTCGCACGATAGTGGCCGACATAGGCTGTGCCAAAGGAGCCTTGACCCAGCTCCTGGCTCGGAGAAACCAGAGAAAGGTGGCATGTCTGTATGACGGAGGCAACATACAAGTGCATGCATCTTTCTGTCTACGAGTCTGCTGTCTAATCGAAAAGAAGACGAAATAAATCTAACGAAGAGAACAACAATACGTGCAACAATACTACAACAGAGGCGGGGCATGCCTATCATGTGCAGTAGCCGTCGTGAACTTCGGGACAGAGGTCTGCTGGAGAAGTAGTACAGCCAAGCATGGCCAGTGCTACAGTATCGCATACTACTAGTGATTTCGCTACCATCCTGCTCTGTCATTCATTCTTCTGGCTGCGTTGCCGCCGCCGTTTCCGTGCTTGTTAGTGTACCTTACAGTGAGTAGCGTTCTGAAAGACTGTATGGATGGTGCGGCATACTCCTTATGTGGTTGCCTTGCTACGACCAGACGAAAGCCTGACGACAGGGCCTCCAAGGTTCTGGCCAAGCCGCGACAGCCTAGACCCAGATCCCTAAACCCTAAAGCCTAAATCCTTCTTCCGGTTGCGCCACACACTTCAGCCAGTCTCTGGAAGCCTCCGTCACGTCGTAATAGTCGACGAGCATTGGAGGCTCTTCGTCCTCCGGAGAATGACATGTGAATCATTTATAGTTCTGCGCAAGCGGTTCTGGGAGCAAGCATGCAAAAACCACACTCATGCTTACAACGAGGATGACAAGCAGCAGCAGCAGCAGCAGCACGAAGAGTGCAGCAGTAGTAAGCAGAGAAAGCATCATTACGGTGAGTGCCAGCGTCACTAGGACTCAGGGCGAGGTTGTTCAGCGTGTTCTTGCCATTACAGTACAACCTTATGACACATGAGCCCTTTGCAGGCGGAACATTTGCTTGTGGCGGAAAATTACAGTGGACTTGGGCTATGGGCCTTCAGGGGCGAAGGTGGATTAAAGCTGACATTACACGGATTCGGACTCAAGTTGAGGAAGATGTTTTGGCCCGGAAGTGTCGACCAAAGCAACGTGCTGTCTGTTGTGGTTTCTGTGTCCGGAAGAATCTGTCAAAGCTGTACACCTTGAACGCCAATCTTTACATATCCACATTCTTGGGCTTCACGATGCTTGCGAGCGGTTTCGGCGCTCACATTCGGACAATCCCGGCGAGCAGTTTAGGATGTGAGCGCGAGCCCTGTGCCGTAGTTGACCACGTTTATCAGCACCTTAAAACTTAAAACCGTCAACCATAGCCCTCCTAAACCCTAAACCCTCCAAAACTATCTAACCCCAACCCGAGGTCCTCGTTGAACTCCTTCTGCGCACTTGCTGCGTCCAGGTTCAAGCTTTGCCCCACCAGGCCCTGGAAATGGCGCTCTTAGGGTTTATATAAATGAATGCTGTAGGGTTTAGGGTTCAGGGTTTAGTGCTAAGGTGTATTACATCATCTTCAATATAGTTTGCCATGACATTATAGTTTGCCATGCCATTTTATTATAGTTTGGTTTCGGCATGTTGCAGTATGCTGTAACGTCTTATGATCAAGTACAGCATGTGATATAGATTAGTGAAACTTCCATCTTTCGACCCGGGCCGTCACACCAGCATCCAGCCTTTACCATTAAACCACAGGTTGCTGGATGTTCCATGCCCTGGCATTTCGCGCAATGCATGCAGGGCTCAGGTGAGGTTATGCTACGCTTCCTGCTAAAGGTCGAGCTGCGGAGTGCAAGAACCTGCACAATCGTCTCATTGCCGAGGGCTGCAGAGAGGACATGGCACTATACAATTCAAACCTTGTTTCGGGACACAATCCCAAAGTTTCACGGTGTGACCCCACGAAAGCATCAACCACTTGCATGCTTACCGGGCAGGTCTTAAAGGCATGCACCGAAACAAAGCTCTGCCGGACTTCTTGCATCCTGTGCAAGCAACACGGACTGAACAAGTCATTCCCAGAGTCTGCCTGCGTCCACAAACTGCGAATCGTCTCATTCCTTGGACAGGTGTCTAGAGCCGAGGAGCACCATTGTTGGGCGCAGCGGGCTTAGCAATCAGAACCCTGCACTTTGAGTTTACTGCCCATGGCTGCCTCTAAATAGGCCTAGTACCAAAAGGCCGTGGAAGGTTCAGCGAAAGTTGGAAGTTCTGGCAGCCATCCCTAGAAGACTTAAGCCCTCGTCCAAACCCTGGACCCCCTACCCGAAACCAAAAGCTTCAATCCGCAGACCTCGTGCACCCAAGCCTCTCCAGCTGGATGTCTTCCAAGCGCACGGGTCTGTTTCGCTTCTTGCGCTTCGGTTGGGCCAGTGGCGTGGTCGGGTCCATGCCAACCTCAGACCTGAGTTCCGTGCTTCGTGTAGTATAAACAAGAAACTTAATACGTGTAAACCTATAGCA